GTAATTTCTTTAAGAGTCAGCTTCCTGGTTCATGCTGGTAGTACAAAACTCTGGCCCTTTCAGAAGGTCCTGCACTTAAATGGGGTTTGTAAGCAGAGTGATACTAGTTGCTTAATGGTGACAGACCTGCTGTATCCCTGGATCTGTGGCCTTGAGATAGGTTTGCAGAGTTGGTGGTTAACATGCCTCCACCATGTTCGACTAGGATATGGCCAAAAGACAAAGCAGCCATAGTTCTAACCACACCACTTAGCATTTTAAGAAACTAGTCAGAAAATGATTGCAGATATACAATAAAGACAAACTCACACAAAAAGAAACCACTGAATAGGTCACAGTGTGTTAAAAAAATGTACGTAGACTTGGGAGAGAGGGTAAAAAGAGTATTGAGAGTTAGAAAAACAAGTACAGACAATCATAGAGTAGAGGACTAAGATAATAAAATAAATATTAAAAAGTCATAGAGTAAAAATAAATAAACCACATAAAGATGGAATACACATAGAGAGTCTGGATTATGTATATTATTGTGTTTTCTTTGGATTTTTTGACTTCAGAGAAACATTTGATTCTGGGGTCTGCTTAGTTAAATCAACATAAAAGTATTTTGACTTCAAAATTTGAATCTAAGGATATGTTACTTTAGAAAATAGGGTCTGCGTTTGTTTCCACAGAACTTGTGGATTTCTTCCAAGCTAATGTGCTTTGATAGAACAAGACCCCATGAGAGGTCTCTATGAAACCTAAATACCTTGCCCAACAAACATCAGAAAGAAGTCTGGAGAAAACTACACCTGAAGTACCAAAATGATTGCTTATAAATGTTTGTTTTCATTCATAGAGGGATGTGATATAGAGATGAATACTTTACATTGGTATGGATCTTGGTCTACTGATACGAATTTAAGGTTGATTTTGTTAAACTGTGTATATGTATTCCTGCTCTTGTTTAAGGTATTGTGTTTTTATAGCTCTTTCAAAAACATAATGTACAATTATGAAATACAGATTAACAGTCATCTGTAGTCAAAGATTGCTTGTTTCCCAACTGCTCAGACCTGAATAATCACACAAAACTTTATTGATTAATATGTTGCTCAACTGATAGCTTAGGTGTCTTTCTAGCTAGCTCATATATTAAATTAAACCATTTCAATTAATCTGTGTATTGGCATGAGGCTGTGGCCTAGCAGCATTGTTCTCTAGACTACTGATGTGAAAGTACCCTCTATGTGCTGTGATTACCGTTAATGAATAAAGAAATTGCTTTGGACCTGTAGCAAGGCAGAACTTAGGATTTTCCATCTTTACAAGGCTTTTTTTTACTTCTATTCTTCTAACCTATGTCTGTGTGTACTCTTTTTTATATTACTTTTACTGTCTCTTCAAAACTTTATTTTTTATAACTGTCTCTACTCTTTTTCTTCTCTCTCCCAAGCCTATGTACATTTTAAAATATACTATGTGTTATTCAGAGGTTTATTTGTCTGAATCTGTCTTTATTGTGCATCTGTAATCATTTTCTGACCAGGAGTGCTTTTAAAATGGTAAACAGCTTGGTCACAGTGGACCTGGATGCTGGCTTCACCTCTCTCAGCCTTTCTAAATGTTGAAGGTACTTTTACCCCCAGCTCTGGGACTGCCAGGTGGGAGCCATCCTCACCACCTCAACCCATGTTGCCACCAAGTAAGTTGCAGCATGCTGCCAAAAAAACTCCATTCAGGTGTTTGGCCTCCTGAAAAGTCCAGTGCTATTCATGCAAATAGCATGAAATGGGACACCTTCTTAAAGGAGCTGCCCAGGTTTTACTGCTACCACTGAGGCGGGCAGCCTTCTCTTAGAGAAGCTGTGCTCACTGACAGCAAACAGAAGATATCTGAAAAATGAAAACACAGCTACCAAGAAGCTGCCCTTTTTTCTTGGTCTAGATGCCACATTGGGTGCCACTTTGCAGTCAGACACTGCTCATTTTTTCAGGATTGCTGAGACCCCAATAATTACACAGAAACTATACTAAATACAACACTCTTCGACCAGTATTTAGGTATCTTTCCAGCTAGCTCATTTCTCTTAAATTAACTCTTTCTATCAATCTGTGTACTGCCAAAATGCTGTGTCTACCAGTAAGGTTTCTAAGGTTCAGGCACTTTTTTTCTCTTTTGGTGCTACAAGGCGTTTCCTTGACTCTACCAACTCTCTCTATATGTCTCTTCCAGTCTGGCTATATTCTGCTAAATGGTTGGCACAAACGTCTTTTTTATTATGTGTTGGCAACAAAACAAATTCATGGCATACAGAAGGGAATTCTACATCAGTTTTCTATCATAATAAAATTTTTATTCATATTAGTTAGGTTTTCTAGATCTACAAAGATGTATTTCAGTTGTATTGATAATCTTCCACACTTCAAAGACCTACAGAATTTTACATTTAAAATGTTTTAAGAACTTAGACTTTTCTCAACAGTAAGGTTGATAAGCACTGAAAAATTTTATTATGTAATTTGCCTTCAATGTGGCAAGGCTACTAGTTTGGAAAAAAAAAAAACTGCTATTGCCATCACTGCTTGATAATATGCTGTTTGAACTAGACATGCACAAGGACCCATAGTAAAGTGACTGCTAAACTTTCTAAAAGAATCGTGGTCCTTTGCAGTTCTTGCTTTACAGATGAAACTGCCAGACATTCTGCAGCACACAGAAGAAAGCAACTGATGAATTTTGCCCTTATAAGGCAAACCAGACCTTCAAATTTCCTGCTTCATGGAAAAGTCTCCCAGTTTCTATGAGCCCATAGGCTGACAATGGATACCCCAATGTTACAAAAGGAATTTGGGTGACTATCCAGGCAGCGAGGTGTCTCTGTTAATTCTAGAGTATTGGAAGTTGCTTACAATGCACTTCCTGTTAACAGATAATATTACATCCTTCTGGTGTCTTTGGTAGAATTAAAGATAGATAGTTAAAGTTTTACTTAGTTATGATAAAAGATAAATTAGATATAAAATTTAAGACTCACAAAGATATGATAGATGATAGGATATTTTCTTTAATTTGCCAAATGTAAATGGACTAAATATTCTCTTTCTTTGACAGTGTTGCTATTTTGTTCTTTCAGACTTTAGACTTTTCCGTTATTTTTCCTTCCCACATAAGTATTTCATTTACTCAACTTCTTAATTTCCACAGACTGTGATCTCCCACTTCTGTGAACTTTTTGAATGGATGCATGAATGATTATGTGTGTGTGAGTGGATGAGGGAATGAGTGTGTGTAGCCAGTTCTATCTATTGCTGAGTTCACCACATAAGAATGAATAAACTTTCTACATTATTGATTCATTTTCCTTTTTCAGAAGAAGAAATAATAGAGAATTTATGTGAAATTAAATGTTATAGTTCATATAAAGTTCCCAATATAATACCTGAGCTACAAAAAATAATTAAAGAATGCATCAATAATTATTCTAAAGCTGGTATTTCCCTGATTTATGAATATGAAGTATGATTATAAACACATGAGATTCTAAATGACACTTTGTTTCTTCAGTTTTTGGAGAAACTACTTCCAAAACAAGTGAATATTCCCGAGCCCTATGTCCTTCAACAGATAAAAGCTTACAAAATAATATTGTCAACAAACAGTACTCTGGAGAAATTAATTGCATTTATTATTTAGTATTTTTCTTGTGCACTGTAAATTGAACATTTTTACCTCAGATAGCTCTTTATGTTTTTCAAAATAAAATGGATGCAACAATATAGCTTCTTAGCATGGATACCTTTATCACATTAAAGTACTACAATAACTCTTCAATGCATTAGAATATTATACTTCCACAATGTATTAGAATATTATAATGACCTCATACAATTTTTAGAGCATCAAACCACCCTGGATAGATGACTGTAAAATGAGTTTAAAGCATTGGTGATTTAAGATATTTAAGATACTACAGAAATTAGCATCCTCATGAAATTTAAAATCTTATATATTTACGTCTGGTTGTTATCTCTTAAAAGCCTATTCTTCTCTAATGAGAAGTAGAAACGGAATGGATCTGGAGGGGAGGAGAGATGTGGAGGAACTGGGGGAATTAGAGAGAGGGGAAAATATAATCAGAATAAAATGTATGAAAAAATAATCAATTTTCAATTAAAAGAAAATGTGAAAAAAGACAAACTCATTTTTAATGTGATTTATGCAATGGTGTGAGGATTTTCATTGAATAATATAAAAGAAATTAGAGGAATAGAAATAAAAGTTTGAGGGTAGTACACAATTCTCACTTTTGTGTGATTTAAAGAATGTCTTAAATATTTAAAGGCCAAATGTTTTAGCTGAACTATTCTATATTTTTGAAAACTAAACTCTTTACATTCTTGTATGTGTGTGTATGCAAATGTATGATCTTTGTCTATGAGTGTTGGTACTATACATATGAAAATCAGAAGACAATTTGTGGTTGTCTGTTCTCTCTTTATACCATGTGGGTTCCAGTGATGCGTTTTAGCTTGTCAGATATGGTAGCATGAGTTTGTACCTGTAAAGCCATACCCTTTGTCCAGAAAATTATTTTTCATTGCAAGATAAATAGTTTGAGATGGTTATCGCTATACTTGTAATTCAATCAAAATATGCAGGCAAGTCAAGATAAAATGAAATTTTAAGACTAACAGTAAAAGCAATTATTGAAAGTTTCATTATGAATAATTTTATTTACTGTATTATAATAGTTTGTTTTATTTTTATTTCATAATTTTATCTCTTTTTTCCTAAATAGTTATGGTCAAGGCTGATGTAGTAACTGGAAGCACATAGGAACTGGTAACTTACTAAATAGTCAATCATCTCTTTAGAGTAAAGAGCACTGTTGATCTTAACAAAATTTAATCATTACAAAAATTATTATGTGTAAAATCTTTAGTTACAGATATTTTACTTGTGACTTAGATTCAATTTTCTTCATTATTTTCCTATATTTCTGTTTCTCTCCACAGAAAGCTGACCTCGCAGTTGCTCCTCTGGCTATTACCTATGTTCGAGAGAAGGTCATCGACTTTTCCAAGCCGTTTATGACACTTGGAATAAGTATTTTGTACCGCAAGCCCAATGGTACAAACCCGGGCGTCTTCTCCTTCCTGAATCCTCTCTCCCCTGATATCTGGATGTATATTCTGCTGGCTTACTTGGGTGTCAGTTGTGTGCTCTTTGTCATAGCCAGGTAACATGCTCACTTTTGTGATTTTTTTGGCAATTGTTACCTCTTTTTCTAACTAATAATTGTCAAAAGTCACAATCTACTTTCCTTGCTTTCTTTTGGGGTGCCTTAGATTTACAAACTTCTAAGAATCATATACACTTACTCCATGGACTAGGCTGCCATTTGTGGCAGAAAGCATGCTGGTTGTGTCAGTAAGCTGCAAGTGTGGTAGGTAGACATTAGTACGGTCAAATTCTGAAAGCAGTCCTAATTATTGAAACAGCTTTTTCTGCTTTTAACTAAGATTATAATTGTGCCTCAAGAGTCTGAATTCTACTGCTGCCATAATGAAACTGAAGTCCATTGTGTTTTTGAGTTTTTTACTTTGTGGTAAAAAGTATTAGAATTCAAATGTAGATTTCTGTTAGATAAAAATTCTTATAATCTATGACTATGTGCATTTATGTGCCCGATAGTCAAAATTAAATATGAATTTTTAAAAATTTTGTCACAAAGATTTTTTGAAAACATCTTTGAACTTTCTTTAAATTCTCGGATAAAATCATTTACTTTCCTAGAAGTAGGGCAATACATTTTTCTTTTATAAAAAGAAAAATAAATTATATATACAGCATAAATCTTTATATATTTATATTTTTGATACATTTATACATAATTATCTTTTTTAATTTATTATGTTACCTAACTGTTTAATGTTAAATTTGACTACTTAAGAACATAATAATTTGTATTTGTTTGTACCAAGCAGCTATACAGCAAGTAGGGCTTTTTTTTTCACAGTTCTTTATTCTTCCTCAAAACTCAAATTTAGATTATGAAGTTCAGGATTCTTTAGCTTCTACTTTTTCATGATCCTAGGAAACACAATAAGACATTTGTAGTGTCTTTAGATCAATAACATATTTGTTTAGTAACCAACAAAAGGCAGTGTTTTTTTTTATCCAGAATTAACTAAAGCCTAAAACAGTTTTCAGTCAGCAAATAGAGCAAAGAGAAGCTACTCTACATGAACAAACATTTTTGTGTGTCTTCCCATGTATTCACTTTGCAGCAATGTATATATATATATTGTAAGAAAGGCTCCTAACACCACACTGTCCTGAGAAATTGTGTAGGTATCACTCATGCTAAAGTCTAATAGAACTTCTCTTGACCTCTTGAACTAGACTCGTTTCTTTTCCAGCTGCAGATACATTAACTAGTAAAAGACATTTGGTAGTTATACAAAATTAACAAATAGTTCAAAATACTTATTTAACTCTCCTTTTCTATCAAAATGAGATGTTATGTTGAAGTGTTACTTGTATTGATTAAAAAGATAACAACGTAACTCCCATTGAAAGAAAGAGTTTTCAATTTGAAAATATAAGGTCAGGTAGTATGTCATATTCTATAGAGTTTATGTTTAAGAGAGTTACAGACTATATTTATTATTTGTTATTTAATGAGTGAATTTGAAATGATCCTGCTCTATCTTATTTCTCAAAGAATGAAAAATAATTTACTGAATATCTAAAAAGCAGTACAAAACAAAACAAAAACTTTATCAGAAAGCTCTTAACTATTCTATTAATTAATGTCTGATAATTTATTAAACAATAAGCTCTATTTATTAGTCTTTGAAAGAGTGTCAGGCTATGTCTAAGTTTCCAGAATACTTTTGCTCATCATTACTAATTAAGAGAGCAGAAGAATGTCTAGGTTCAGGTTAATTTCTAATGCAAGCCCCCAATTCAAATGAGTTTGTATAAAAGCAGTTTTTTCCTAGTATGAAAGAAGCTTTGAGATGCAACCCCAGAGGAAATGAAATGGTCTACTGGTAGTAGTTAATTGCCCTTCTAAATCAATAGGAAGTATAATTTTTATTTTGAGTTTAAAATATAGTATTTTGCTTTTACTTATAAGTTAAAATTATATCATACAGAGAGCTGCAATGAATCACTGACATTACTGAAGTCAGTATACATGGTATTTTTATATTTTTATAAAAATACATACTTTATCTCCATTAAATTATAGGAAAAAAAAGGGACACTATTCAGCAATGATGTAGCTCAGTGGCAGGGCACATGCCTAACCTTTGCAAAGCTGAGTTTGGACCCTAACACAGAAAAACAAAGAAACTCTTAGTGCATATCTTAGTTTCCATTATTGTTGCCATGTGATAATATTACTGTGAACAAAACATTAAAAGATAATTTGTTTATTTTTCGCTCACATTAGAGATCACAGCCATCTTGGCTGGAAGTTGAGTCAGCAGAGAATAAAGTAGCTGGTCACACTATGTCTACACATAAAGGATGCCTATGTAGCTTATTGTCTATGTTTTAGCCTGTCCATTATGACAGACCAGGAAATTTTTCTGATGTCTACAATTAGGGAGGGTCTTCCCACAACTATTAATGCAGTCAATACAGTTCCCTACAGGCATGCACATAGGTCAATGTAGTCTGAGTAGTCCTTATTGAAACTTCTTTCCCATCTGACTACTGAGACTGTTAAATTTATAGTTAATACTAAAATATCAATATGTGTGTTATCTTCATTTTAAATCATCCACATTGATGTCTAAACCAACCACTGAGTCTATAACAGAATTCCTACTTATACATTATTGAGATATACCACACTGAAATTTTAAAAATCATATAACACCTAATAAGGAAAGAGAACAACTGACTGAATAATTAAATATAACAAATATTTTAATATTGTCTGAACTTATAATTAATTATTTTTGACCTGTCAAAATTCTAATATTGTTTCTATTCTTATTGAAACAATTTATCTTCTATAACTTTTTACCTACACAGACAAACTTTCAGCTTTCATTCCAGTTGTATCATTAATCATTCTCTCAATTAGTAAAATATTTACTGTATTTAAAATCACACTTATTAGAATATCATAAAACACTAAAAATTTCTTGATGTTTACTAGTTTATTTAACACAGATATGCATGTACATGCAGAAAAATACATATATATATTATTTATTGTATAATAAATATAGCATACACATATATACACACAAACTTTCAGCGATGTAATAAAATATAAAATAATTATCCTATAACTTAGTTTTAAGGATTATGTATTTGAAACTTGTATTCATAAAAATGACTTACATTTTCACACATATATAAAGTTGACTATAAAAAATAAAGTATTAGACAGACTGTCATCAGTCATTTCAGTATCTACTAGATGAATAATCTATTATCATGTTAATAACATTAGTCTTATGAAAACTTTAAGCTAAATATGAATTGATAGCATTCATGCTTTAAAGCTAGATTTTAAAGTATATAATGTTTTTAGTCATTAAAATAACATGGCTTTATTTTTAGTTTACAAAAAATCACACCTACATATACTTTACCAATTTAGTATATTTAATGGTTTCTAAGGGAAAAATGTCTCCGATACTTTTGTGTTGGTTTACTGTGTCATATGGTCTTTATAGACTTATGATTTGTTATTTGTAGCATAATGACACAATCAGCATCCTTCTCTGATTTAGTAGAGAACTTGTTTAGGAGAATATGTAAGGCTGGGATATTGCATTCCAAAGAACAAATGTCCCTGTCCTAAATACCTTAACAGTTTTTCCCGACTGACGAACAGAAAATCTTTTGAGTAACAGTATTCTCTTTTAGTATTTCTCAATCTTATTTGCCATCTTCCTTTCTCATATGCTTTAATCTAGTTAAACAATTAGTGAGAATATAGTCATATAAAAAGGCTGATTAGGGCACCCACCCTATCTATGCATAAGATTTGTTTTTCACCTTGCTTCAAATATTTCCCACATTAGGCAACATAGAATACCAACAATGAGGTATTTATAAAATAGGTTAATTTAAATTCCCATCCAATTAAATTCCCATAGAGAATAGAGGATCTATCTCAAGGACAACTAGAGCTACTGAAATTTCATATATAAGGTTTGTTTTTGATTTTTCATAATTTGTAATACAGATATACATAGTGGATATCAATGCACAAATGAAGGGAATAGTGGTACACACATTTCCCTCCAACAGGATTGATGTTACCTGAACAATTACACACAAAGCTGTTGGTCAGGACATTAGAAAATAAAATGTAAACAAACTTAAAAGAAATGTGATTCATACACTAAATTATTGAGTTTAAAAACCCGTGTCCAAAATGTTCACATCAACAGCTTTGATCATATTTCTGGAGCAGTATGCATTAGCTCTTATATTCTTGTCACTGTGATGAGTAATAACTCATGGACAGTGAAGGACAAATAGGGTATTATGGATAACTGTTTTGGTAGCTGTACAATGGTAAAGAAATTGGCTGGTAGGAAGACTTGTCACATTAAAATAAAATACAAAATTTTCTACATGCCTATACCACCAACTTTCCAACCTCCTACTCAGAAAACAATTTATACCTTACTTTCTGTAACACTGTTTTACGCAAACTATTTTGCTTTTATTTTTAATGTAATGTTTAAGAGAAGGAAACTTTAGGGAGACATTTTTAGTATTTTTCTTCTCATGTAGCACACTTCCTAGAATCTGCATAAAAATTGGCTTTTGGAGAGTACTATTCTAATATGCCTCTTACACACATGGAAAGATAGTTTAAAAGGACCATGTTTTAAGATTTATCTCAATAATATACCTAATGATTAGCACAGAGTCAATCTGAAGACACTTTGAAAGTACACACTGAAATATTTTTTTTTAAGTTGTGAGATTTAATAAGACCACAAAGGGAACATATCCGTATATCTCCAGAGTTCCTTGATCACCCCACTATAAAATTGCACCTCTCTTCAGTGGTCGTGGTTACAAAATGGCCATTGTTGTAAAGTTGATATTGAGTTTTCATGATTTTTAGAAGAATCAAACAAAATGGCACTGAGTGGAATCACCTATGATGAAGATGTTATCTGGGTAATGCAAAGCAATAGCGATCTAGACAGAACTCATAAGTTTATGAGGAGGAGGAGGTGAATTCTA